GTTCATAGTTTCCTCCTTTTTAAGAACTGCTTGGAAACAAGCTGATGGCGGATTTGACTCCCTGGCATAAGTTAGTACGAATTTACCATCGAAACGGACAAGCAATCATCGACAGTTGCAGCGAATACAATTCCGTGGATGCACTTTATGCGACAATTTTTTACAGAAAAAAAGAAAGAAGAAAATGTGCACTTAGCATGTTACATATCCTGACCATAATACAATATGAATTCAGCTATTCGATTAACAAAAAAAAATTGTGGCGGAAGTGAAAATTATGTCAAAAAAAAAAACCCTGGAATTCCAGTGCACTTAGTTTGTATTGCATTATACAGACGTAGGTATGGAACGGATGGAAAGTGTGACGCAGAAACTCAGCGTGATGAGTTAAGTTGAGGCTATCTATTCAAATTTTGGGCAAAATTTTATAGTCTATCCATTACCTTGCCAGAATTTTTTCATTCAGCATATGTCAGAGAAAAAAAAAACTCGGCCTTTTTTATGTTACAAGGAAAACACTGAGAAATAAATCTCTCGGCTTTTTTTTTTTTTAATTTTTTTTACTTGGTAATGTCAGTATTTTATTTTAATGTGCGGTGGTGTAGAAAAGATTGGCCTCGTCAGCTGTGCAAGGCATCGGGCAAAGTTAGCGCTCCTGGCAGTGTAAGGAAAACAAGTTCTTTACAATCTATTAATTCGTTCCCATGAAAGATTAGTTCCGCTTCTGTCGTATTTAACATGCTAGGCACTTAATCCCCTTCCATACTGTTCATCAGTTAGGCTGGGTACTGACTAGTAGCTGTCGCACTATCATTTGGGCCACAGCTCATTCAGGGCATACAGTCCTACCAGAGACAGAGCTGGAAAGAGATGCAAAAGAAACTCAGTGAAGTTCCAAATTTTCTTCTAGTCAGTGGCTTTTGAAGGCAAATAAAAGGGCAGTAACTGAGGGCCGAGGGATGAGAAGAGAGAATGCAGGCAGCAAAAAACAGTTTGCAGAAAAGCACACGAG